ATCTGTATATTTCAAAACATGTTCAAGAGAAACGCAAGGAATTTCACAAATGTGCGTGGAAAGTAATTGCAGGGATAGCACAGCTCCTTGAAGTACTCCGGAATTTACTAAACGATAGCTAAAATGGTTGAATAGCCAAGCTAACAAAAACTTGAAGCCTTCAAACGATCACAGTCTGTCTAACAATTTAGACCGAGGAATGGAATGGGATAAAATACTGAAGAAAAACAACGAACAGATCTAACAGAGTTATTCAAAGACTTGATGATAAAATGTATAAGGGTTGAGACTGCGCCAATAGTGGATCTGTTAGGCTTGTAAGCAAACTGCAACGGATTATTTGGAATGTTTATAGACTGCTGGAAGCGTTTGATGATGGCATTTTCGGTCAACGAAAGGGTAAAAGATCTTAACGTCATGAGATTCAACGTTTGAAAAGGACAGGAGATTTAAGTGCTTTGGGATTTGGTATGATTGTGACCGGCTTCCAACAGTTTGGGGTGTTAGAAGTGTAGAGTGAATCATTTACAACGGAGGTGCTTGCCCTAACTAGGAAAGTAGCACCGAATTCCAAGAGCACAGGAGGTAAACGGCTTGGGCCCGCAGCCGAGGTCGATCTACGCCTATTTAGACGTTTTAGCACATTACAATTTGAGAATGATTGCGCATTCTAAGTGTTGTGTGGTGAGCAGGTAGGAAGAATGTCCAACTACTGGCGTAGGAATCTAGAATGGAGATAATCAACATCCATCCATTTTCGACCGTACTTTCTTCGTTCCACGGAGAAGTTTGATGCCTTTCATAGGTATTCGCTATTTCCAGTCCTCAGAATTCGATCAGAGAATACTGCATCTAATGTGCGGATGGGGGCTCAGCGTTATTCTTGGGGTTGACGAAACTCCTGGACTCAGTGTGGGAGAGGGAGGAAGTTCCAACTGAATGGTGTGGATCGGCCATCATGCCGATTTACAAGGAAGGCGACAGGTCCTCCTGTGAAAACCACAGAAGAGTTAGTTTAATCAACATTATTTCTAAACTTCTCGCTGGTTTTATACTCCGGCGTTTGTCTGCCGCACGTGAACGGTGCACGCGTGAGAACCAAGCTGGTTTTAGACCTGGTCGAGGGTGTATCGACCACGTCTTCACTCTTACAAGTGACGCTGGGTTCGTCTCTCGTACCAAACTCCCAGGGAACTCCATGATCTTTTTCATGATCATGTATGGAGCGGACTTATTTTTTCCAAGGAACTAACCGCAGTAAAATAAAAGTAGTATATTCACTTTTCGCCGATTTATGGAGCACCGACATTCTTTTTTAGACACACCATCTCGGTTTTCCTCGATTTGAAAGCGGCTTTCGATCCAGTCGACCGCTCTAAACTCTGGCGCTGCCTTTGAAGGGTGTTCCCGAGAGGTTTATTTCAATATTACAATCTCTATACGGACAACCAAAGTCGAATCCGAGCTCACGGCATTTTATCGCCCGAGTTCACCACGGAAAGTTGTGTTCGTCAGGGTTTCCCTCTCTCCTTTTTAATTTAACTTTGTAATAGATTTGATTATGGAAACAGTCCTATCCTCGTGCGAGGATAGCGGCATCGATTTACTTCCAGGTGGCAGACTGTGTGATCTAGAGTATGCAGATGACATTGTGCTACTAAGCGAAGATAAAGGTAAGTTGCACGACTTTCTGATTAGTTTGAGTGTCAGCGTAGCCATGTTCGGTATGCGTTTTGCACCTTCTAAGTATCTGGGTTGGTCCAGCACCCAGCCTCATTTTAACCGGGGAAGTAATAGATCAAGTGGATAAGTGTTTTTATTTGGGCAGCTGCATCTCACCCGGTGGACACATTACGGATGAAGTGTCAGCTCGCATACAGAAAGCTCGGTTGGCATTTGCCAACTTAAGACGTTTGTGGCGCTGTCGCGACATCCGGTTGTCTGTGAAGGGCCGAGTGTATACCGCGGCAGTTCCGCTAGTTCTGCTATACGGCGCAGAAACTGCCATTAAGAAAACAGGACAAAGATAAACTATCGGTGTTTGAACACCGTTGTCTACGCAGCATTGCACGAATATGGTGGGGTAGCCGGATGAGCAATGCTGAGGTTAGGCGCAGAGTTTTTGGGTATCCGCGGTCGCTCTACAGCCAAAGGCCGCAGCAGATACTCGACCCTTCACGGACAGCCAGATGTCTCAAGTTGGCAAATGCTAATCGAGTTCCCAATGACTATATGTATCTTAACATCTAAACGTTAGGCAATAAAGAGTATAAACGGGTGGCAGAATGACAGGATATGATTGTGAGCAGTAAGGTGCTATATACAAGTTAGTGAGACTTATGAGTGAAACGGGGAAATCTTGCGTGACATTGCACGGTTAGCCACGCGATACCCTTTGACCATTACTGAAAAATAACATGGGACTTTCCACACCAGAAAACGTTGACAGGGTACAAAACCCCCTCCCGTCTTCCTAACAACGTTATCGGTGAACATGAATACTGTCCATCGACCCTGGAATGCATCTATGTCCTTATCCAGCCACTATTCTTGTACACAGACCACAATTGTTCGTTTGAACTCTTGAATTCAACATTTTTGGAAGCAAGGACCGAATGTTATTGCTGTTCAACGAGGGAAAAGCGATCTTGACCCAAGTTGTGCAACTGGCAACTGAATTTAACATCATTGGCAACGCCCAAGATATCGGTACCTTGTATGCTTAGCCACTCCAAGTTCCGCGGCTTAGGTTGCCGGTTTCCATAACTGAACAGCAGATATTTGCGACCACGGGGCCTAATCCGTCGGCTGTTTATCATTCGAATGTGGATTCAGCCCAGCCATCCGTGCATTTCCACCTGTTTTACAATTTATGTGGTGGTTTCACATTACGGAAATGATTACAGTAATCCAAGAATGCACTGTACATGAATCAGATAGTAGATCTCGTCCACCTATTTGTGATTTATTTTCTTCGCATATTTTGCACCCTATCGAGTACCCTCAGCCTGGTTCATCTGGGTTGTCGCGACTGATATATGCCCTAGCTTCTTTGGATCAAAGATGGAAGTTGAGTATGTAATCAAGACCAAAGAAGTGATAGATTCACTCAGATACAAGATTCTGACAGCTTAAAATTGCTACTTTTTTGATTCTCCTTTACCGCACTGAAGCCGATGCTTTAAAGAGGCTTGCCTAACGTTCTCCTCTCTTCCTACGCTGTCATTGGCCTACCTCCATGTTCTAAGGTTGGAGTCTTGATAACAATACCACCGCATCAACAATACTTGACAAACCCTATTATGGATAGTGTCGCCAATATCCTTTGAAGACAGACAATGTCGAATGTTTTCGAGATGTCATTTGAGACTGGGGAATTCTTGTTTGTTGACACAAGCTTACCAATGGTGAGATACTAGGGGCTAGCAGATCGCTGGTTTATTGACGCAATCAAAAATTCTCACAGGCAATAGTTAATGACCACTCCTCAAACGTTCTAAGCATCGTTGATTTCTATTGCTTTAAAAGTATCAGGCTTAGGTGGAATAGTACTGCAAACAGAGTCTCAATATGCTTTTAGTGATTGGTTGAATGAATAAACGTAATTTGTTTTAAAATTTGATTAAACCCTCAGACTGCTAATACTCTTGTTACCATTTTTCCTCTTCTTTTTCTTTAACTTGAAAGTGATTGTGCTGTGGATCATACATGTGTGCTTTGTCGCAGATGCTTTCTCAACAGCATCCATGTGAAGCACAACTATAAAGTACGTCCATACTGTTCCCATGTTTTGTCTGACGAAACTAATTCTTTTTCGTGTCATTTGAGAAACACATATCAGCTTATCGTGGGTTTCATATAATATTTTTTCTTCCAACTAGAGTAAATTTCCACGAATTTAATTAGACACCGTGATTGTCAGGCTGGTGGTGTTTGGCTATCGGTTTTAGTGACCAAAAGCCTCAGTATGGTCGGGGTAGGTGTCGTTGGTTAAGACTAGTCACCCTTCCCTTGCACCTCACGACATGCTCCCATACGACCAAGCATCTCAAACAGCTTCTACTGAGGAAGCCCTACTCACTGCCTTCCCGCTGCAGCGGTGTTAACCCACCAAAATGAGAGTACGAAAAGCCAACATCCGGAGTTATAACCGGCTATACTGTCCATTGGAAGTTCACCTAGGGGAGTTGGCGGAAACACCTGATTCCAAACCATCTAAGAGGAAGCGTGCGAATCATCATCACACAAACACCTTCATGGTTGTGTCAGTAGCGACCGCCTCGATTGGGCATCTAGGTGCATTGGGCACCTTGAACGTTTGACGTCGTTCAAATGTTGGGAATGATGCACTTGAGTACCTATTTTATTTCTGCGGGTTCCGAGAACAGCAGTGTAGAACGGAATGTTGACAGCAATCTCTAGAATACGGTCGGTGTCTATATTGTCGCGTTTTTCGGTAATTGACCTATTGATGCTTTGTAGAGGTTAGTATTTTTGGTCGTCCATCACATATTTTGCGTCCAGCAAACTCGCTTTCCCTCTATGCTGAGAATTTTAGGTTTCGATAGCGCATGATTAATCTGTTACACTTTCTAAACGTGGTGTTCACAGTGCAAACATTGTGCCATTACCAGACGTGAGCTCACCAATGCACATATGTAATTACAGAGGCAATGGGAAAAACCACGGAATCGTTGTATGCTGTCCCATTTACTGTTGTGGATAAGTTCGGCCATCGTAATGTATATCACGATAATCGGACCACAAAAGGAGTTTAAAGATAAAAGATGTACGTTGAATTATTATTATTATTATAAAATCACAATCTCCTTCCCTTGTTTAATTTTAATTTTAAATTCATTTTAGTGTCACCTAGGGTGTATTTTTCAGATACTCAAATATGAATCGGCGTTAGTTCAGCTTTATATACATCTTCTGTTGTATGTGTTCCGTGGTGCTAATCTATCACTGTTCATCTTTATCGTGCTATTTTTATGCAGATGCACACCTCTTCGGGTGGGGGATGCTGTGATTGTGGTGATGTTGAAGCATGGCGAAACGGTGCACAGTGCTCTCTTCATCAGGTTCCTTCTACTTTGGCATCACCTAATATGGCGCAAACCTCATCTGCCGATCAACAACAGCAGTCCGACGAACCAAGTGTTAACTTTACGGACGACATAGATACCACTCTTTCAATGGAACTGGATACTTTGCGGGAACACATTGACAGTCTACCAGCTGATGTGGTTTCCAGAACATGTTCCCTGTTGAAACCAATCATCCATAGCATGAATCTGTGCTTCTGGAATTTGGTTCAGGTAATGGTTATTGATATTGAACTGTTTTCTGTATATATTGATTATCTTAACTGGCGTTTCATCTTCCGATAGTTTCTCTGTTGGAGCACCACTC